TCTCCTTCTTCCCACCCTCAGCACCCCACATTTTTCAATACTCATCTCTCCCGTCCACCACCTGACATTTTTCAGGACTACAGAAGAAACAGAACTATTTGGATTTAAATCATTTATTTCACAGCCGTCCAAAGGGCCTCCCCTTTCTGAAAGGATGATAAATATCTCAAGAATTCCCTCCCACCCTTTGCAAGCCATTCTTTAAAAAAAGAGAGAGAGAGAGAAAGAGGAAAAATACCAATTATCAAAAGTGCCAGTAAAATAACTTTACTGTTGACAGCAAACAGATGGGTAAGAGAACAGCCCTGCCAGGTGGCAAGTATAAAAACAAATCTTTGGTATGACACAGAGTGGAATTCAAAAAAATAAATAAATTCAAAACCCAGGTGGCTTGAAAAATATTGGCACTTGAGAGTACAGTGGTGCCTCGTATTACGACGTTAATTCGTTCCAGCGAAATCGCTGTAGAACCAAAACGTCGTAAAGCGAAAATAAAAAAGCCACTGAAACGCATTAAGACCTGGTTAATGCGTTCCAATTGGCTAAGAACTCACCGTCCAGCGAAGATCCTCCATAGGGGCAGCCATTTTTGGGTGCCTGTGCATCAAAGAATGGCTCCTAAACACAGCGGGGAGCCATTTTGAGCACCCGGCCGCCATTTTGAAAACCCGACGATCAGCTGTTTTGATCGTCGGGAAGCGAAAATCGGTTCCCGAAACAGGGAACCGATCATTGTGCAGCGAAATTCCCCCATTCAAAACGTTGTTTTGCGATCGCAAAAACCTTGTAATGCGGATTCGTCGTTAAACAGAGCGCTCGTCTTGTGAGGCACCACTGTACACAGCCACAGGGAGGGGCAGAGACTGAAGGCGGAAATTCCTTTTTGCTACCATAAAATAACTGGACATGTTTAGCTTTGAGAAAAGACTGAGGGGTGAAAGGATAGCACTTTTCAAATATTTGAAAGGATGTCATCCAGAAGAGGGGCAGCAGTGTGGGCAACCCTCTGTCAGGTCTGCTTTGATTTATATTCCTGCATCGAGCAGAGGTTGGACTCGATGGTCTTAAATGCCCCTTCCAACTTCATGATTCTGTGATTCTACATCTTAAATCAGTGAACTGGACCAAATAGGTTGCCATTAATTTATTTCTCTTGGTTTTGTTACATGCCTTCTCATTTACAACAGGCTCCATATGCACCTTTCTAATCTCTGCTCCCGTTGGGTTATTATGTGTGTCCGGTTGGCTTCCCCCCCCCCTTTTTTTTTTTTTTTATTATGTGTGTCCGGTTGGCTTCCCCCTTTTTTTTTCTTTGCTTGCTTTGCAGGTCCAGCAGAGCTAACTCAGAAAAAGGAATAAATCAAACTCAAAGGGTTAAAAGGGGCAAGTACTCCTCCATTCACACACTGCTGTTCTTAAACAGCCCGAGATGTCCTATTGGACAAAATGTGATTTCTCTCCATTTAAAGCGGCGCACAAACAGCTTACCCGGAAAGCCCTCTTTTCGGTGCACGAAGCAGATTTCAGCGGAAGCCAATCCGCTGGTTACAAGAAGAATCCTATTATGCCAAATTAATTCAATCCGACTAATTAGAGAGCAGGAAGTTCTTTCAGTTATTTTATGTACCTTCTGAGAAAGGCACTTGAATACGAGAGCAGATTTCATTAATAGCCGCTTCCTTTTTCGACAGATTAGTTTCTGAACTTGAGACAGGAGGTCAAAAGAAGCCAGCCTCTCAGGGGCTACTTCTCAGCTCTAGACGTTGGAGGGTGACAAACAAGCCATAGAAAGCTGGCCGGGATCACTTTCACAGAAGGAGCCTCTAACTGTGCATAGACTTGGAGGTGAAAGTCCCCCCCTGTTCATCTTCGCATCCAGCACTATGCACAAAAATAATTTTTACAATGAGATTTTTGCACCGAGCACACAGGATTCTTGGCAAGCTAGAAAACAATACGTGGATTTGCTTTTAACAGTCCTGCTAGTGAACTGATGTAGAGGAAAACTGGAACAGAGGAGGGCTTGGAACCAAAGCCCTAGCTGGAAGGATTGAAAGAACCGGACATGTTTAGCCTTGAAAAATGAAAGCTATGGGGATATAGGATCGCGCTTCTTAAAGACTTGACAGGCTGTCGCACAGAAGAGGAGCAGGATCTGTTCTCAATCAGCCCAGAGTGCAGGACACACAACAATGGGCTCAAGTGATAGGAAGTCCAGATTTTAGTTGAAAACCAGAGAAAACTTCCTAACTGTTAGAGCAGTACAACAATGGAACCAATTACTTCAAGAGGTGGCGAGTCCTCCAACCTTGGAGGCCTTCAAGAGAAATTTGGACAACCATCTATCAGATCTGTTTTGATTTGGGTTCCTGCCTTGAGCAGGGGGTTGGACTGGATGGCCTTGTAGGCCCCTTCTGACTCTGGCTTTAGGAGGCAGCTCCTAACACCAACTGCATGTGGCAGGCAGTCAACTGCTTTAAAACACAACAAAAAACCCCTTTTCCAATCAGCATTCTTCCCAATCAATTAAGTCAATTGTTCCAATCAATTAACTGGACGCATCTCTCCATTGATGCTTCTCGCCCTGCCGAATTCTTTACTGTCTCAGCAAGAAGAAAGCAGGGCAGAGCGCTTCCCTTCATTTACGGGTCACCTTTCTGTACCCCTCTTGACACAATGCAAATTTAGAAAGTTTCTCTGTGTGTGTGTGTGTGTGTGTGTGTAAGAGAGAGAGTGACAGGTTTTTGAAACCAAATTGGCTCTAATGCTTCGGAGGACCCAATTTCAACAACCTCTGAGTGTCTTGCACCCGGTCTGTCCACATAGTTCATGCTGGGACCCACTGCTGCGCCCCCCCAATGCTCCTCGGCATCCATGCATTGGCCATGAAGGAATGGGTTTTCGCTTGTCATTGCAAGCAACGTCTGTTTTCCATGGTGACTGCTTCCTTGTTACTCGTCACCTGACCCAACAGGCATCTCATCTCAGTTGCCCAAATTTCACAGACGATTCTTTGTATTGCCTATAAACATTAATAATAATCCTGTGCCACCCGGTCAATTCTGACTTACGATGACTCTTTTCCAGGGATTTCCAGGGACAGAATCCTCAGAAGCGGTTTCCCATCTCCTTCCTCCAGAGGTTGCCCTGGGACTGCTGTGCAGCTGGCCCAAGGACACCCAGGCTGGCTTTAGTCCCAGGAAGCACACAGAGGGGGATTCGAACTCCCAACTTCTGGCTCTAGTCCCAGGAGGCACACAGAGGGGGATTCAAACTCCCAACTTCTAGCTCTGCGACCAGAGACCTAAACCACTGAATTATGTTTATGTAGTAGAATGAAGAGCAAATATGAACGTGGTTGAACTGCAACCACAATGGGTGTTTTAAAGGCTATAAGAAAGCCGTTACCCGAGTTTCTTAGAAGAGTAACAAACAATGGTGAAGCCGTTGCTGTCTAAAACAGTGGTTCTTAACCTTTGTTACTCGGATGCTTTTGAACTGCAACTCCCAGAAACCCCAGTCA